ATTTCATTTCACAAGCACCAACACTACAGGAACTTATTACAGGAAGGTGGATTATGTATAGGGGATCTTACCCTTCCCCTTCTGCGATGTTTAAATGCAAAAACAACTTTAACTATAAACAATAAACTGCACAAATTTATTGAAAAACAGATTTTTTTCAGGAATAAAAATTAAAATCGTAATTTAATCAAAGACCATTTTGATTAAGTTTCGCCTTAATATTGCTGGCCAATGTATCAAACGCCTTTGTAACAGGCAGCCCATCTGAAAGGGAGAAAAGGTAAAGTCGATACAAGGATAAAAGGTCAGGGAGAATGAGAAACCAAAACACACCGATTACGTCAAAAGGACACTGTCCTTCATCCAAACATCTAGTCAGTCGAGAATCAAGCGGGATTCGTCCGATAACCTCCAACCCAGTCAATGAATCAGCCCCACCAGTGGTTCTTGGGAATATCTCATTTGCAAAACCACAGTTTGGACACTCCACTGCAGACATATTTTCAATGACTCCGACAATTCGGAGACCGATTTTTTCACAAAAATTTATCTCCTATCAGAATAGGTGTTGAAATGGCCTTAAGCTACTTGAGTAAGAACAAACCTTTCTGACGTCACTAAGGGCAACTTCTTGCGGAGTTGTGACAATCAGTGCAGCAACAGGGCACCCGGCAGCCTTTACATAGGGTACAGAGGATAGATGCTCATCTGAGGTGCCAGGAGGGGTGTCAATTAGTAAATAATCCAGAGATGTAGCTGTTTCGTCTGCGTAGTTGTCCGTCCAGGTGACCTTGCAGAGGATGTCACGAATAAAGGAATTTTTTTGCGGTCCCCGCCATATCAGCGCCTGATCAGGAGATGTCAGAAATCCTACAGACATCAGAGCTAGGTTATCGGTCACGAAAACTGGCGACCAACCCGAGGCACTTTGATGAACCTACTCAAAATTGCATAGATTCTGAAACTCACCTCAGAATCCAAACATCCCATTAAACAGGGTATTGAGGGTCCGCAGATATCTAGGTCCAGCAGTCCAACCTGATCGCGGCATTGGTTTTGGCGAGCTAAAGCCCAAGCAAGACAGGTCGACACTGAGCTCTTGCCCACACCGCCTTTACCAGAAAGAACAAAGAGGCAATGCCTAACCCGGCCGAGACGATTGCGAATTTCCGCTACGATCTCCGGTTCGCGCTCCTCCAGCGACAGTTTGGGAGCACCACTTGCACACAGCGCTTGGTTCGGACAACCAGCACATGCGGGATCACGCCCAGCCGAGTCGCTTTGGGGACCAGGGCAGCTCAATGGGGCACCCTCAGGTAACAACGTACTGTCTGTGTGCATCTGTTGTAACATTAACAAGACGACAATAATGATAACATAACCCATAGAGAAACATAAAGCCACGCCACAACGCTTTACAAACTCACGCCGATTGTGAGCCCAATTTCGAAAATTTGCTCCAATCAGCATTGTGCAACGACATAACATAACACCGAAGAGGTTTTTTAATTTGCCGTCCAAAGTTTGCGAAATTCTAGCAAAAGTAAAAAAATTTACGTATGCTGGCAATAATTTTTATAAAACAAATAAAAAACAAAAATTAATAAATAAGTAAAACCTAATAGGAATGTCCAATAAACTCCTACAAATCGAAGCTTACTTGAGATGGCAATACAAAAGAGGAGTCCGAACAAATACTACTGAACTCAGCAAAAAACCAGGGCTTTCAACTAGGTTTTACACATGCGTGTTTAAAGGAATGGAGAAGCTTGCGCTTTGACTTCGAACGGAAACCAAATCATACTCACGAGAGCAAGATGAATATATAAAAGAACCTACGCCATACCTATGGTCTTGTAGACAATGCATTGCAACATCTAACTCCTCTTGCTGGCGTTGTCCTTAGCAATCTCTCACTTCTTCCCCTTCGCTCAGTGCACCTGTTCCCCCTCACGGTCCAGCCGTTCTAGTCAAAGGCTGTTGTGAGAGTAAGGATTGTAATTGGCTTTCTCAGAACTTCTAATTAGCCCAAATCTGACTAAGATCTGTAAGACATAATGTAAAGGGTATTTTCTGTTAATTATTAGTCACGTCTAAGAGCAGGCGTTGGAGAAACATGTTTAAGCAGAGATTTTACTGTGTAGGCATACACGCCTATCGTTCAAATCTCTTTATAATTTATTTATAGCGAAAAGCAAATTATTACTGTGGAACTGGGCAAGCGATCGCACTCAGAGAAAGGGTTAAAAAGCACCTGTTCTCATTCTTACTAACGTATTTAAGATTGACTCTATAGAAAAGAGGCAGAAAAGCAATTTGAACATGAGTCCAGCGACAGCGTCGTATCGGCTGATAATGCAGCGTACCGAGGATTTTCATAGGGCGTAAGGAGGCATAATTGAGATTGGGTTCATGTATTCCGAAGACGACAGGACAAATGGTTCCTGAGCTGGCCTGAAGGCCAGCCCACGTGTATAGGGGCCAGATAAATCTTAAAGTGATCGTTGAACGTTAGATAGTCACACAAACAAAGCATCACAGATAAGATCTTGCTTATAAAACTGGGGAGCAAAGTGAAGTCAAACGCAAACACAGTTCTCAGGCATTCTGCTCCGATGAATGCAGAAAACCTCCTGCCTCAAGTAATCGCTTCTCCATTGCAGTGCAGAAGTATGTCGCAAGCATCGAACCCTAGAATATGAGCCCTAAAAGAGAGGTTGTATTCGGCTGCCACTGCTACAAGCGAACGGAGACTTTTCTTTGGACTGAAGAAAGCAATGGATTGGGCTAACTACACAATTTCTGGTCAATAAGAGATTGGGCATTTTCGTTATCAGAAAGCCAGATTCGAACGAATAGGAAAACAAAATATACATCAGGCATAATGTTTATCACGCAATTTTGCACTGCAGCTTGATGTGTTCAACAGGTCAATAGCAGAACATAAGAGCAAACAAGCTAAACACTTTCCACTACCAAATGGTAAGCCTTGGAATTAGAGGTAGAGGCGAGTAAATCTTGAGGGCCAGAAGTCGACTCGATTGCTTTGTTTATGAAGCCATCTAATGTCTAACGGTTACATTTGTCGATGTACCTATGCAAAACCCCCCTTTTACACAATGAGAAGTCTTGTGGATTGGCAACCATAATGAACAAAGGCAAGGCAAACGCCAGTCACTGCGCTAAAAATATGAAACAAAAAAAGGTTATAGGTTATAACCAGGATTTGTCTGGCCCT